AGCCTCGCTACCATCCCGGGCGAGCATCGCCAAGTCGAGGAGAGGATCAGGCTGACCTTTTCCTTTCCCCCGGCCGCGAGAATAATGCGCTGGAGCTTCTCAACGCAGCCCGGGCTCAGCGCCCCGCCGCCGAAGTCGAAGCGGGGGACGGGGAGGAGAACGCCGTCGACGTCGAGGAAGATCACGACCCGTGCGCAGGACTCGCCGTGAATGGGCGCACCGGCCATGAGGAAACGATACCACTTTGAGGTGTTTTGCGTGTATGTTGCGTGTGTTTTGGTGTGTTTGGGTGGGGGAGATTGTGAAATGGACCAACGACGGCTTTCGCTTTTGACTTATGGTTTGGAGGAGGGTGAAAATAAACAGAGAAAAGGACAAGGATTAACAAGGGGCGGAGAAGGGGTAAGGGAGTGGGAAGTTCCCTCCCCCATCCAAGCGCGTCAGGCGTGTTTAGCGACAAAAGGTTTCAATGTTCTGCATCAAACTTGAGATGTCAAGTAAGTTTCGGAATTAAGAGTGGGAAAGGAGGACATAAATCCTGCAGGTCTGCTTATGAATATGATCTAACACGTGTAAAAAGGGTAATCAAAAAATAGAATCCCATTGGTAACTCAATGTGATATTTTACACTGTAATAGATAGCGATTTATTACAAACTTATAAAAAAAAGAAGGGTAAATATGCATTTATTTATATAGAGATATAATTTAAGCCTCAGCTTAGCTTCTTAGAGATTCAAAGTTCTTAAGTCTACAGAATTAGGTAATTTTATTTTTTTTTCGTCTAAAAAACTACGTAGTGTTTAAATTTAAAGGCTGTGCCACTTCAGCTTCTTACCAAAGTTTTTGTCTATAAAAAATATGAGCTCAATCGAAGATATCAATATCCGAAACATTTAGTAGTTATTTTTGTATGGTAAGAATTGTTGGAACCTCCAGAGGGACGACTTTGGGGAACTCATTGGCAGGATTGGAGATTGGTTCAGTCAGTTTACTGGGTTTTATCAAAGGAATACATTGAATCGTGCTGGATTTCGCCTTTGACGCCGATGAGGTGCCTTGCGCCATGAAGACGACATCGGTGGAGGCCATGCGCGTTGCCGAAAGCGCAGGAAAACGCGCGACCGGTTTATTCGACGCGGTGGACGCGCCGTGCGTTGATCGTCCCGAGGACCATTTTATGATGCGTTGAAGCAGCCTGTTTTTCTTAGCCTTGGCGTAGAAATTCCAAGTGGACGACCGACCAGGCGTCTTGTCCGCTCGCGGCGGCCCAGCCGCCGAATTCGCCCAGCGATGTGCGGCCTCGAGAAGAAAGAGCTGACGCGCGGCTTCGATCAAAAAACGCCCATGCCTCTCAAGATAGTCCAGCGCGATCAGGGCCAGCATTTGGATGTAAGCGGTGTTGAACCACGCGTGGAGGAGCAACACCCAATGGCATTCCAAGCACGCGTCCATGTGAATTTTCACGAGGCGAGACTTTAGGCCCAGCCCGTCCTGGGGTAACCTTCCCCCCACCGCCGCGGCGGCACCCGGGAGGGGGGTCTCAAAGATAAACTTCACCATATTATCCCCAATATGGGTGGAAAAGACAGACGTCCCGGACTCGACGGCGTCCACCCCATTTGAAAGCCGCACCGCGCAGGATCGCGGCGAATGCGGGGTCTCCCGAGGCATCTGTGGAGGAATAAACGGAAAGTTGGAAGAAGCCTCCACCTTGCTCGTCTTGGCGCCTTCCTCCGATGATTCTCTCCGAAAGAACTCCGAACCACAGATCTCTAAAAAAGAGTCGAACATCCATGAATTAAGCACCTTTTCCCGAGACCAGGCCGACAAGCGCTTCTCATACATCCCCATCTCTTTGTTAACGCTAAACGCTGCTTTGAGCGGCTCAACATTTCCCGGCAATTCCTCCAGTGTGGTGCCCTTACTGGGTAAATGGGGTGGTTCGATTGGCCACAGGTTTCTCCCCGCAAACCGCTTCTCTGGTGGGAATTGGGATTGTGAAGCGGCGTCCTTCGGCCCCTCCCACGTCGCGCCGTTGGGTGCTTCCACGTTTTCCTCGCTTTCCAGGTTGGGGGTAGGAGGTTGCCCGCCATTTCCCACCACCGCGGCGGAATCCACGCGGAGGATCACGCGGCGCGGTGCCGGCGTCGCCGACAGAACCCGCGAGGGCCCGATCGAGGCCCTCCAGATCGGAGGGCCGTCCGCGAGGGCGTCGCCCTCGCGGGGAAGTCCCTCCCCCTCCTCCCGATCCGCCCTTAACCGCGCCCTTCGGTAGGCCCGGACGGAGTGGTGGGGCGGCTCCTCCCGCGGCGTACGCGCCCCTTCGCCCTCGCGGCGGGGGCCGGGCGGCGGGGGGGTGGGAAGGCCGGCGTCGGCCCGCTTGGATGGGGGGGAATGAAGT